TCCTTTGAAGCTGATTTTCATTCCTTTGAAGCTGATTTTATGAGGGAGCAATAATTTCTTGGGTGCTATTTCCAAAACACAGTATAGGTCCTTGTTATTTGACCTTTCAGTAATGATTGTTCCTTGCTTAAAATATTCTATTCCATTGGTTCTTCATTTAAAAAAAAAAAAAAGGCCACTATATCTAGTTTTTCCCCTGCTTCCCAACTGTCCCTTTTGAATTGTTTATGGGTTGCTCTTCTGTGTTCTTAAAAGTTCTTTAGCCTTAAAGAGATTCAGTAACTTGCTCAACGTCATACAACTACTTAATGGGAAACTAGATAGTCACATAGACAACTAAAAATGCATACTTTACACCTATATTTATCCTATTACCTATTACATTTAATGCATTTCAGCTTCAGTATCTGCTCCCTGACTCCACCCTTTAGATTATGAGCTCCTTGAAGGCAAGACTGCTCTTATCATCATTCAGTTCTTCAAAAAGAGCACTTTTTAATACTAAATTTTATTTCCAAAAAAAATTTTTTGTTAAGAATAATAATAAATGTTCTATCCTTATCAGTCCACATTGAAGAAATCAGTCTAAAGAACAGTAACAGACTAAAGCTGTTTTATTAAAGTCATATTACTATTTAGAAGATTTAATGTATTTTAGCCTTAAAAGCACTCACTTTGTTAAATGAGCTTGAATCTCACAAGGTAAGACCTAGCTTACCTCTACTTTATAAGACAAAAAAAGTGCAACCAAAATCGAGTGTTTTAAAGTCAGTTATCAAATTCTATATTAAAGGGATTAGATGGTGTTAAGTTCCTAGAATTATATATATACGAGTAAGCACATGATTTCTCTTGTATGTCTAAGATTCTATGATCATATTATTAAGGTGGATATATACACACAAATTCCCTGGGTGGCACAAATGGTTTGTGCTCAACTACTGACCTAAAAGCTGGTAGTTTAAAGCTACTCAGCAGTGACACAGAAGAAAGGCCTTGAGATCTGCTTCTGAAAAGATTAAGACAATAAAATCCTATAGAGCAATTCTACTCTGTAACACATGTGGTCACCATGAGTCAGAATCAACTCTACAGCAATGGGTTTGGTTTTCGGTTTAATACGTACCAATGCAAATTGCTGCCTTACATATTTTATAAAAGTATTACTATCCCAGGGGTTTTAGTTGAAAAGAACAGTAAACCCATGTTTTTCCCAACCAATATAAAAGAAAATGTTCTCCTATTTTCTGATATATAGCTGCCTTCCGATATCTCAGATTTGCCTAAGGCTTCTGCTCCCAAATAGTGAGCTCCTAACTATTTGAGAGGCCAGCAAGTGTTAGTCATAATTGTGTTCTCAAAGATGTCCTGCTCACTAGGAGTGTAATCCTCCTTCTGTTCATCAGCACACAGGAGTAAACAACATAATAAATGGTAGGAGACAACTTGTACCTTATTCAGCATTCACCCAGTGTTTTCTGTATTATATTGAGAATTTATCAGGATTACCATATCCTCACTTGTAACAATCTGACAAAAATTTAAATTAGAAGGTCTTGCCCTTTAGAAACTTACACATGTCTTCATATGTTCTCTCCTCCCCCACAGAAATATAGGTCTTTTTACAAAAAGTTAAACATGAAAAGTGTTTTACACTTATTTAAGTCCAATCCAAACTTCCTAACAAAAGTGCTCTTCATTGTTAAAATAATTTGCTACTTAGCAGGGGCAGATTATCCAATAAGCAAGGTAAGCACAGGCTTACTTACTAATCTGTAGTGAACAATTTCACATTCACCCATATCAGGGATTATAAATTTGAAAAGTGGCTTTGATTCTGTAGGAAGGTGCGATGGGTTTGAGAGAGAGACAGATGCCAGCCATACCTAGAAGCAGAGTCTTTGATGTGGTGAAAAAAATGTGAAATTTGTTCACTACAGATGATCTGGTAAGCAGGTAAGCACTGTGAATGAAGACTTCAACAACAGTTCCCATTCTGGAGTCTCTTAAGCTTTCCAGAAGAGAAATCAATCAACACTTACGGAGTATTTATACAGGTTCATAAAAAAGGTATAAGAGGTGTCCTGCAGGTATGCTCAATATTTCCAAAGAACTGAATACAAATTACACATACACAAAAGTAACATTCCACAGGCTATTACTTAATAAATACAGACAGGTAAACAAATCTTTCAAGGCATTATATCACAACATTCCTTTAAAACAGGTGCTCTTCTGGTGCTTATTCACACATTCAAAAAGACATACAATTCTGTGATATGATATATGTATTGTAATGCACCATGTACAAAGTCCTGCTAAAATACAGTGGAAGAAGGGATTACTTCTGCCTGGGGAGACTTTACAGATATAACATGAGTGGGGCCTGGAAGGGTAACTCAGCTTTCTGGCCTGTAGATGCCTCACATATGTTTCTGGTTACAAAATTTTACAGAAATTAACTTTAAGATGGATAAGTTTTTAAAGATCATCTAGTCCTGAGATTTTTCACCTTTATTTTAAAGTTACAAAACCATAAAACAGGTAAAAGTGGACCTGCTCATTTGAAAAGGAGTAAAGGTTATTGGAAAACATTCTATTCTAGTCAGCCCTATTCATTTTAAAATAAGAAAGCTGAGACATCAAGAAGGACAAAGATTTGGCCATGATGATAGAAATGCAAACACACAGCTTATTCAAAGAACACTTCTTAAGCATCATTTCCTCTTTGAAGTCTTTCCTAACTTCCCAGGTGGAATTTGACATTCCTTACTTTATTCCCCAATATAGATCACATACTTCCACTACGACTTCTAGAAAACTTTAGTGCCCTTACTTTACTTTAACATGTCTGTGTCGCTCTACTACACTGTTAAGTTCCCTGAAAGCACGGATTGTCTTAATCATCTTTGTTATGTCCAGCACCCGAAATAAAATGTTACTTATTAAGTTATACTACACTAGGTTTCCTCACAACTGGACCAATAAGCAACATCATAATAAATGGAGAAAAGACTGAAGTTGTGAAAGATTTCATTTTACTTGGATCTACAGTCAACAACCTTGGAAGCAGCAGTCAAGAAATCAAACAACATATTGCACTGGGCAAATCTGCTGCAACAGACCTCTTTAAAGTGTTGAAAAGCAAAGATGTTGTGCGCCTGACCCAAGCCATGGTATTCTCAATCATCTCATATGCATGTGAAAGCTGGACAATGAATAAGGAAGACAGAAGAAAAACTGATGCCTTTGAATTATGGTGTTGGCGAAGAATATTGAATATTGAATATACCATGGACTGCAAGAAGAATGAACAAGTTTGTCCTGGAAGAAGTACAACCAGAATGCTCCTTAGAAGTGAGGATGGTCAGACTTCGTCTCACATACTTTGGACATCTTATCAGGAAGTACCAGTCCCTGGAAAAGGACATCATGCTTGGTAAAGCAGAGGGTCAGCGAAAAAGAGGTAGACCCTCAATGAAATTGACTGACACAGTGGCTGCAACAATGGGCTCAAACATAACAATGATTGTGAGGATGGCGCAGGATCGGGCAGTGTTTTGTTCTGTTGTACAGAGGGTCATTATGAGTCAGAACTGACTCGATAGCACCTAACAACACTCTCAATTTCAAAAAAGATTTAAGATAGCTCAGTACCTGAAACACACAGAGGATTAACAAGTATTTGTCAAATGAATTTGCCAAAAATGAGCTCATTAAATAATACACCTAAAGCAGTTAGAACAGTATGATACAAAATATGTATTCTATAAATATTAGCTATTACTGTGTAACTCTGTATCAGCAAAAGAAAAAACTGAAGTCTTTACTGAACATTTTAATCTGGAAGTCAAAAACTAGATACCTTTTATCAAGTTTTCAGCATGCTCATTTATACATTACCAATGCAAATATCTATTTGAGGAGAGAGAAAATTCAGCCCAACTGTAACAGTCTCTTGACACTGCAGACTGAGAAAATAATAAAAGGAGTTGCATACTCTTAATCACTAGATTTGGAGTGAAAGAGGAGACTGGGCTGGTTTTAAACTTTGGGCTAAGTCTCTCCTTTCTCAACCTCAGTTTCAGTCGTCTGTCAAATGGGGGGTGAGGAGCGGGAAAGATTATTTCTAAGGTTCTTTCCCACTATAACACTGTAAGGGGTTATAACAAATTGGGACCTAACTGGAATCCTTCTTTAGCTTTCTACTCAATGAATAAGAACTGACAAAATCATATGTTTGAAATACATCACAGTCATGACATTCTGTGAAACAAGCCACCTCTGAAGGAAATATTCAGGTAGGGATTGAGCCACCAGTTAAAGAAGATATTTAGAGGATTCCTACATAAACCAAAAGTAGAGAATTTTAGAAGAAATCTTAAAAGTTTTTATGGCTCACCCAACCGAGACCCAAGTTCTCTCAAAATATTCCTGGAAGAGATCACCCAACCATTCTTATGATGGGGAACTATCCACGGAGACAATCCACTTCATCTTAGGCCAACTATGCTACAAAGTTTTGACTGAAGCCACCACCATCCCTTTGTAACTTCCACCTATTACTTTTACTCCTCTTCCATCTAAGGGCCCCTCAAATATTTGTGAATAGTGATACCTTTCCCCTTAAATATCTTTTCCAAAATTAAAATCTCCAAATCCTTCAACCTTTTCTCATAACATACAGTACTACGACTCCTTCACCATCCAGCCTGCCTTCCTTGGAGACACCTGCTTTTTTGCTTTAACTAACGTCAAAATTACTCGAACGTCCCTTCCCATTCTGACATCTTCTGACCCCCTATGAAAACCAAGATTTCCCACTTGTCTAGGTGACACCACATGGAAGCCTCTAACTGCCCTTGCTACCTCCATCCAAAAAGCATTAGAGTTGGGAAGTATGCCCTTGTTGCTCCTTCGGGAGACAAGCAGACAAGTAACGGCGGCAACAACAGAGAGGCCCGCACCCTGTTCTCCCCAGTCCAAGCCTCCTCCCTCACCGGTATTGCTTGGGGTCGCTGGGGGACTTGACGATCTCAGGGTCTCCGGCATTACTGACAGGCCCCCTCCGTCCCTCCTCCTCAGACTCATCGGCTCCGAGGCGGGCAACCCGGCCGCTTTCGCTCAAATCCTGTCCATTGGGCTGCAAGTCAGGACAGCTGCAGGTAGACTTCGCCTTGTTCCTTCCAGGCATGGTCAGAGTAGGAAAGTGTCTGGCGGCAGCAGAGTCTTCGCACGGACCCCACGCTTCGATTCTCCACAGCGCCGCGAGCTCCCGCCCGGCCTCACGCCAGAACTTCCCAGCGGCACAAACTGCAGCAACCGTGACTCTCCTTAGCATTCACCACCAGGCCGGAACGACGGGCATCCCTCTCCCCAGGGCCCACCTCCTCCTTCTACTCCTCCAGCCGCTCCTCCTCCTCCGCGTTCCAGAGGCGGTGGCGGCCGGCGCTGGTGCTGCCGCAGCCGCTGGGGAGGACAGGCCTGAACCCCTCCCCCAATCCGGTCTCCCTCACGCTACTTCTCTCCTCCCCCGCCCTCTAGACGCCGATGACGCTTCTGATTTTAGCCAATCAGGAGGCAACACAGCAGTCACGCGCACGTAAGCACCCAATGGGAACAGGGAAGGAAGGGAACGAAAGGGGCCAGGCCGGATTCTCGGAGCACCCAGACAGCTCTTCGAAACCTAGAGTGGGCGGGGCGGCGAAAAAGAGGCGGAGAGTGGCGCGGAGGACGACGGGAGAAGGTTTCCTGGGTAGCAGCGATCGTTTATGACGTACGCGGGGAGTTTGTGTGAGACAACTTCCGGATAGTGTTCCGTGGCAGGAAAACATTCACTTGCTGAAAAAAATCGAGAGGCGCGTGGAGAGAATGAATTCCAAGGCTTTATCCTCATTTGTGCCATGTTTTGTGTACTTTTTCCCTTCAGACTCGGAGCAGAGCCTTTGATAATGACTCGTCACGTAAAAAAGAAGACGCCGGAAGTTTTTTCCTGCCTCGCCGGATGGAAGCTGCTTTGGGGTTGAAATGAGCGCCGGAAGTAGCGCTTCGCCCCTTTAGCTCTGGCAAACCCTAGTGTTATTCGCCCTTAAGGCCTGATAAGGTAGTTGAAGATCATCTCGATGCGTTCATTCTTCTAGCTCCCCTGCAGGCTAGAGTCCACAGCCTAGTGTTAAATTCAGCCAACTTTTATTGAACAGCTACTGTGTGTCAGGGTGCTAGTCCTCAAGTGGCTTTTTCCAAAGTTTTTCCTACTTGGGACTTTTGGTGGACAGTCATCTAAAATGTGACTGAAACATGAAAAATACAGTTTTTCACACGTATCAAAAGAGTTTACTGATACAATGGGGGAAGAGATTCTAGCGCATAAAGATAATAGAGTATATATGAATGGAGCAGGGAGATGCATTGATCGCTATTCAAGTCTGTTTTTTGTTGTTGTGAACAAATATTGGTTGAGCACCTATCAGCCCAAAAAACTAAACCCAGCTCGTTGTCGTCCAGTCGCTTCTGACTCATAGTGACCTGTAGGACACAGTAGAACTGCCCCACAGGGTTTCCAAGGAGCAGCTGGAGGCTGATGGATTCAAACTGCTGACCTTGTGGTTAATAGCCAAGCTCTTAACCACTGTTCCACCAGGGCTCCCCTATTAGCCCATAAACCTCAAATGTACATCTTCAGTCTAGATGTCTTTTGAGCTCCGGAGAAAGGGAATACAACAATGAACAAAACAAATTCCTGCCTTCATGTAGCTTGCATTCTAGCGGGAAGAAACAGTAAAAATGAATTATGTGCTATAATCAAAAACAACAAATGCCATGAAGACGAATGATGCAGGATACAGAAGGATAAGGAGATGAGGAGGAAGCAATGATGAAAACTTGAACTAGGGCAGTGGGTGAGGTAAATTAATTGGAAAAAAAAAAGTTCACTATCCCAGCTCAAGTTTCCATACATCTTTTTAAGAACCTGTCAGTTTTTACACTAAGCAGCTCCATTAGACTACTTTTCTTCAAAGCAGTGTTTTTTCTTTGTGTCTCCAGTACCTAGCAAAACTTCTCAGTACATAGTAAAGCAGCCAGGCAGTAATTGTTTGTTGTTGAGTAAATACATGAAATGACATCTATATTTAGGGTTTGTTTTGTTTTGTTTTTTACTCTCCAAAGCAACAATGCCATAAATTCTTAAGAAATAGTAAAATTCAGCCAGTCATTAGAATTTTCTAACTAGAAACAAAGAGAAGCCCCATCCTAAGTGTGACCTGTTAGTTTTTCTGTTTAAAAAGGATGCCTCTGAATCTTACAAAAAGGGTCACCACCCTGCAGAAATTTAACACCTCATTGTTGCTGTTGTTGTCAGGTCCTGTTGAGTCAGTTCCGACTCATAGGAACCCTATGTACAATAGAATGAAAAACCACCCAGTCCTGCACCATCCTCGCAATCATTGTTAGGTTTGAGCCCATTGTTGCAACCACTGCATCAACCATTGTGTCAATCCATCTCATCGAGGGTCTTTCTCTTTCAAATACAGAAGTATTGTTTTCCTGCTGAAAATAATTTAGAAATTTGCCACCCTCCACTTGAATATTTATATTTATTGGAAAGAGAATTCCTTACAGGAAACAAGTAAGTAAAGCTACTACTATTTTTTAGGAAATTGGTGCATTAGAAAGTTAAAAAGATTACCGAGAAAGTTGAAGACCATGAGTTATAATTTTTAACTCCATTTACCCAGACTCCCTTAGAGTATTTAAATGCTTTTTCTGTCTTCACTCCATCTTTAGGCACCCTATAACCCTTCCCGTTTTTACTTCAAGGATTTCCTTCCCATCAGATTTGGTGACTTGTCTCTCCCTACTATTTCGTTGAGGGGTCAGAAATCACAAAATTAAAAACCTATCATTTCTATATTAGAGGCCTACCCCTGAAACTTATTTTAGTAAATACAGTGGCTGCCTGCCTCCCAGAGGGACGAATCTGAAGCTTATGCCTAAAAATTCAGAGGTAAATTATTCTTAAGCCCATTATCCACTTCTTTATATTTGAGAGTCAGGATTAATCAGAATTGTGGAATGTTGATTCTAGATTGAGTAGAGTGGGAGTAGTATGAGCCCATTAAACTCTCAAGCCCCAAATTATCTCCCTTACTTTAGTGTCTAAAATTTCCCCATTAGTGATTCATTGTCCTCCTTAGAACTCCCCTTAAATGTCAGTAGCACCCTTGGAAGGAGTGAAAAACGAACACCATTTTGTGAATGGCTTTATTTCCCTTTTTTGAAGCCAACTCTGGGCAAGTTGAGATAACCATGAACCTGGGGTGGTTGAAGAGGCTGATAAATGTGAGTGAAAAGGCATAGAAAGAAGAGGAGAAATATTATACTTCATAATGTTGTCCAGGGCCAAAGTTCTAAGAAATTATACCTTTGGCGCTCCAGTCATTGTTCCACCCACTGATTGCTCTCTACATTTAGCAGCTTTGTCTCTAGGTCAAGAAGCACATGTTCGTACGGATTCCTTCTCTTGAGAGATCGAATGTGTGTACAACATACCAAGCACTCTGTGTGGCTATAAAAATACAATTCTATCTCCTATACTATAAATGGAGCCCTGGTGGTGCAGTCATTAAGAGCTCAGCTGCTAACCAAAAGATCAGCAGTTCGAATCCACCAGCCACTCCTTGGAAACACTATGAGGCAGTTCTACTCTGTCCTATAGGGTGGCTATGAGTTGGAATCAACTCAACAGCAGCAATTGGGTTATACTATAAATATAGCTCTAAGAAATATTTAGGATCGCAAGTGGCACAAGTGGCTTGTGATCGGCTGCTAACCTAAAGATTGGTGGTTCAAACCCACCCAGAAACTTCACAGAAGAAAGGCCTGATAATCTGCTTCCATAAAGATTACCACCAAGAAAACTCCATGGAGCAGTTCTACTCTGTAACACACGGGGTTGACAGGAGTCAAGGGCAGACTAAATGGCAGCTGACCATAACAACAACAACAGGAAGAATTTGGTATTCAAACTTCAAAATAAGAGTGACTCTGAAAAATACTTAATGTCAAATGAAAGCTTATTCTATCACAAACCTAGCTAACTGTTCCTCATCTATGGTCCAAAGATACAAATTTTGAGACACTTGCCTGGGAAAGAGAATGTGAAGACACAAAATGTTTTTAAAATTATAAATCAGTTATATTACTCTCTTTTTAAAAGTCATCTGATGGCTTTCTCTTTGCACTTGGAATAAAATTTGCTTGCTTGCCATGGCCAATAAGGTTCAATGATTTCTGTCCTCTAGAAGCCCTGGTGGGGCAATGGTCAAAGTGATCAACTGCTAACTGAAAGGTTGGTGGTTCGAAACCACCAGCAGCTCCAAGGGAGAAAGATGTGGCAGTCTGCTTCCATAGAGATGTATAGCCTTGGAAACCCTATGGGGTCACCATGAGTCAGAATCAACTCTATGGCAGTGGGTTTTTTGGGTATCTGCATCTACAATCTCATCTACTATTCTATACTTTAGTCCAAACACAGGGGCTTTCTTAATACCCTTCATCACTCTAAGATAGTTACTGCCTTAGTGCCATCACATCTGCTCCTCTGCCTGGACTGTTCTTCCCTCAGACTTTGCATATCTGGGTCCTTCTCATCAGTCATACCTCAGCTCAAATGTCACCCCTTTAGAGACGGCTTTTCTGACCATTCTATCTAAAATAGTACCGATTATCTCAAACTATATTATTTATTTGTCTATTAGTTTACTGTCTATGTACCCTCTGTCTATTGTAAGCTCTGTTGGAGAGTTGGGACTTTGCCTTGTACCCCAGCATATCCAAAGCATCAAAAATTGTGCCTGGCACATAGTGGGTATTCAATAAGTACTTGTTGAGTTAATGAATGAATGAATGATACAGGAAGAAGAGGGGACAATTGATGTTGTCAAGATCCAGAAGAGGCAGAAGAGAAGGTTAGGCTTAAATGGGAGAGGGACACATTTATTATTGAGCCTGGAGGGAAGGAGGCACAGATAGGTGCAGGTGCAGCAAAGATTTTAAATAGTGTTACGAGGAAGGAGCAGGCATTTAAAAGAGTTCCTACCTGACAACTTCCAGTCCCCATTTTCTTTCTGAAATGTGATACAAAGTCAATGCTGGGAATGAGAGGACAGGTAGGGTGACGGGTTCTGCTTTCATGGTAATCAGTAAATAAGATATTTTCTTTTTTGTGTGTGTTTAAATATCACACATCTTGAAGCCAAGCCCAGCTAGTAGCTTTCATTTCCAGAGTAACTATAATACTTTGTACAAAGCACTTCACTTACATTAACTCATGTAAGCCTCAGAGCAACCTAAGTCTCTTATTCCCCAGTCTATAGAT